AATATTATCTATCTATCTATCTATCTATCTATCCATCTATATATATATATATATATATATATGAGTGTGTGTGACCGTATGAATTCAGTTGTAGTTCGAGTCTAGTGATTGTCACCTACTATCTTGAAAAGTTTTAAAGGCAATATCAGTCGTTATCTTCAGTCTTTCCAATCGTGTTTTTTTATTATCTTTTTTCAGCAATTTTTCTCATCTTTCACTCTCAGTAGACCTTTGCCTCTTATCAATGCCCGAACTACGTGTATTTAAGCATACTACTAGATTGGCAATTACTTCCCAGCCTTTGACGGTTGAAATAGTTAATGCTCCAACAGTTACTTTTCACGGGCTCCCCACCACTGTAGAACTCCCTTCATCTTTCTCGCTTCCCTAATAACTACAATCTTCAAAAATTTAAATGCAACGCCACGTCAATCGCCATCTTCTATATTTTTGAATCCGGTCAGCTATTATTTTTTCCCCAGGATGTCCAAGTTCACTCACTGTAACCTCCTGCGTCCTAATGGCATTCCCGAATTGCTTAGGGTGATATATATATATATATATATATATATATATATATTAATAAAAACAGACCACTTTAAGGTTCCATGTAATAAATTATTTCATCACAGCCCTTTTAAGGACTGCGGATCATCAGACTTTACTTCCAAAGGTTGAAACGAAAAATCAAAAGGTTTTCATTTTTCATTTCAACCTTTGGAAGTAAAGTCTGATGATCCGCAGTCCTTTAAAAGGGCTGTGGTGAAATAATTTATTATATGGAACCTTAAAGTGGTCTGTTTTTATTTAAATTATCTGCTCTGGATTTACATTGAGCTCTCTGGATTTTATCCTCCTTAGGTTTAGCCATACGGATTACCTAGTTTTAAACTATATATATATATATATATATATATATATATATATATATATATATATATATATATATATATATATATTTGAGAAACTGCGTTACAGAATTGCAGAAAAATGTTATATATTTAGGTAGTGTTTAGTTGGGTTTCGTTTGTTTTACGGCATATGAAACTCAATAGTTTATTTAATGTCGACAAAATTTTTATTGCTGGTAATATTTTTCCAAAAATGTATTGCTGGTAATATCTTTTTATTCAAAAATATATTGCTAGTAATAATTTTACCTCAAAAATTTTTGCTGGTATTAAAACCTATTTTTACACTTTTATAGTATTTTGACGCCAGTTTCGCTCATGGTTGGGACTCTAACAGGTGCTACCATCCCAGGTCAGGGTGGGCCTGGGAACACCAGCAATTAAGAGGTGGTTCCACACTCCTCAAAACATCCTGATCAGAGGCTTTGTTGTTTGACATAGTTTATCGTTTTACCCTGTCACTGGAAACTCATTTATTGTACACAGAATTTTTTGGGATGCCTATATTCATATATATTAACCAATCAGCGACGTTATATGAGAGGCGCGGTATTCTTTGAATTTGCAGACAATAAATCTTTGTTGTTTGCTACGTAATTTTGGAGGATCGCCTCGTAAAATAACCAACAATTTTTTCCCTCCTTAAAATGGATATTTAAAAATTGGGAGAATATTTATTGACCAATAAAATGGAGTTTAATAAAAATTATTTTTTTTTTATGGAACCTGTTTCCTTATAAAAGCGAAAAATTTTAATTCGATAATTTGTTTTTTAGTTAACTTTTGGCCGGGGTGGTCATTCATTTGTTGTACAAACTGAAATAATGAAACCTTAATTAATTATTCACATTTTCGCATATTTATTCGAGTGTATCATATTAGAAGAAGGGCTTAGCAATATTGACACAAAAAAATATGATTTCTCAACACCTAGGGGTTAGGAAATAAATGATTTTATTTCCTATTAGCTATACAAATGGGGTATTTTTGAAGTAATCCAAATCGCGGCATAAGAAGTCCCATGTTTCAAAACAAGAGCCGAAAACTTCAATATAATTATTTAAATTAAATTGAGTTAAAATATGCTCTGTTTCATCTTCAAGCGAAATTTTTTTTTTTATGCCCTACTTTTGTATCGAGCACTATTTTTAAAAAATAATAACTAAAATACTAAGGGACTTTGGATTATTTACCTAACCAGTTCCTTCCTATTTTCTCTATATTTTCACACACACACGTATATATATATATATATATGTATATATATACATATATATATATATATATATATATATTTGAAGCCCAATGCAAAAGTAGAACCTACCGTACCAGTGGTGGCCAAACTTACGATAAAATCCAGATGTTTGAGAGCCACAAGACACGGACAAAATTTACAATTTTTTATTAAACATTAGACATGAAACATTACTATTTAATCCAATGGAATCTCTATTCTTATCCAATAAATAATTATAAATGTTGACATTTTTCTTTATTACCTTTTATATGAACTGTCATGAAGAAAGGAGCTCAGCCAATATATTTCCACGAACCACATCTTAATGCCCAAAGAGCAGAATATGGCTCGCGAGCTGCATTTTGACCACCCTGTACTATACCAACGCGTTTCGGTCCATTATCAAGACAAAGTAAATTTTTCGAAACTTTCTTAGAAAAAACGGTAAATTACATCATGTAGCGTTCTTCATTGGTTACCTTTCCCTTACGCGGAAAGATTTTATAAGCTTTTTGGAAATTCTCAAATTTAAAATTTGAAGTTATTACGTTTTTCACCACTTTACTTCTGTCTATAAATCCAGATTGCTAAATAAGATTTCCACACTCACCTTGATAAAATTCTTCCAAGGACAAAACGCTTAGAATTTTTCCTCTTCTTTTACCTTTTAATTATTTCGTCTTTTTACACACACATACATACGCAGGCATACACGTGCACACACACACACACGTGCCCACACACGTGCACGCACACATATATATGTATAAAATAAATATTTTACAGGCACGTATATATATATATATATATATATATATATATATATAAAATAATTTTATTTAATTGGTGACATTCTCTGGATTTCACAATTAATTTCCATTATTCCCAAATTTATTTCCAAGTTATAAAAATTGTTATCGTACAAAAAATTCCAACGCAAAAAAATCACGTACAAAAAACAAGGTGAATAATCGTAGTAATGGAAAATTTCCAGTCCAGAATTTCAGGATTGCGGCTCCGTATCCAGTTCGGAATGTATTTAGGTGTAACGTCGAAAACGTGTGACACACTGTCACACTGATATTGGCACTTATTATATTGGCATTTATTATATAGAAGAAAAATGAGCTATTGAAAGGCAGAGAGATGGATCCATTTATTTGAAAAAAAGTGTGACACATTAATATTCGTATTTATTCTATAGATATACAAATGTAGTTAAAGAGCTTTAAAGATCTTTTTTAAAGACACCTTTTCGTTGTCAATAGTAGTGCGAAATTGGTTCTATAATTTTGACTGATAAACATTCGAGGAGAAAGACAACTGTTTGCGATAAGAAAAAAAAAAAAAAAACGTTGCAGGCGTTGGTCCCGTTCTCTAAAGCGGTGTCTACATCAACATTCCTTTTCAAATATTGGGCCGAAAACAACGTTCATTTTAAAGTCCGTAATTCTGCTGAAATCCAAAGGCGCATTGGAATAGCAAAAGATGCCTTCCAAAAGCTAAGCAAAGTAATAAGAAACGGGAAAATTTCGTTAGAAACAAAGAAAAGTGTACTGAACTGTTATTTAATATCAATGCTCCTGTATGGAAATGAATTCTGGATATTGTCGTCAAAGATGAAGAAGTGACTTGAAACAACAGAAATAAGATTATACAAAATGATGCTTAGAATATTATGAACCAAATATGTCAGTAAAGTTGAAATTTTACAGAAAATTGTACTTAACATCACAAAGAGCCAGGAGAAATTTCCCGGGCACATAATGAGGAAAGTTGGCTTAGAAATTTTGATACTCACAGAGTAGGTTAAAGGCGAGACGAAAACAACATATAGCCAACATAGCGTGCATGATCTGACAGATGGCAGAACAGAGTTTATGAGAGATAACAAAAAGACGCAATTTATTAAGAGCTAAAAAGGACAAGAAATTGTGGAGAGCCATGATCACCAACATCCTGAGGGGACACAGCAGAATAATTGTACTGATTGCAAGTAACTATAATTCAATGAGTTTATCATCACAAAATTGCTTTAGCGAATAAGTAAGTGTAGGTTATAAATAGAATAAGGCCGAAAGTATGGAACCTCTAGAGAGGATCGAACTCACTACTCAGCAGTAATTGTTTTATCGAGAAAGGTATGCTGTCCATTACACCACCTCGGAGTGCTCACAATATGGCGTTAGTCATACACATTACATTCATATTTTCATGTATGTAAACGTACGCTTATTGAAATTATATCTCAACTTGTGGTCCGAAACTCTTGTCACGCCTACATAATACAATTTTCTATTTCAGAAGGCTGCCATGAAAACAATGGTGTTCATACAGACCTTCTCGATGTGAGACAGCGTCAATGAAAGTGAATAAACTGAATCCAGTACATGTGCTTTCTATTACTGTATTACTTGTTCTTACATTGTTCTCATTACTTTTTGGTAGGAGGTGACGAGATTTTTGGACCACGCTGTATACTAAAATTTGTTATGCTTGTTTACAGCTTTATACATTTTAGTGTGTGTCTGTGAGAGTGTGTGTGTGTGGGTGTATGCATGTGCGCGAATGAATGTGATTCCAGGGTTTTGCTTAGGATATGTGGGACATTTAGCTGGTCTAATTTTGTTTTCCATTCGTTTCGTGCAATTGACTCCCTAGAATTTCAGGATTTCTTCACTTCGTGGACAATAGTGTCTTGGAGGTAAGAAGAATAATGTCGACAAATAAAGCGTTTCCATTTTCCCTATTTCGGATCTTCTATTCAATGCAGTCTCTTCCAACTATAGACGAACATAATACATCGCAATCGCTATTATGTAATATCGAGTAAAGGCCTTATTTATTTCTAAATGCACACAAATCTATCTATCTATCTATCTATCTATCTATCTCAGTATGTCCATATATATATATATATATATATATATATATAACCAGCTCACTAAATATCTACCTACATAGCTGGTTTATTCACATCTATCTATCTACTTCGTCAATTCATATCTATCTATCTATCTATCTATCTATCTATATTTCATATCTATATATCAGTCTATATATTTTAAAAATTTACTTACGTCCATTTTCAGCAACTGACAACTACAAGATATTCCATATTATTATACACGAATGTATTATATATTTATATGCAAATATATTTTTCTGATAAAGATATCCACATTGTGTTGACTCTGCACAGCTTTAATTCAATGTGCATATTAAAAACAAAACAAAACATTTTAATGTAGATTTTGATTTCTTTTTAATTCGTGGATCATGGCTCTCTATATGTGCATTCCACTAACTGTACCGTTCTTTCCAGTACCGATGTGGCTTCTATCCCAAATATTTTTTTCTGTAGCATTGCACGTCAACATCTTAAGTCATTTTTTTTTCTCTGACTTACAGTTAAGTATTATGACTGGAGGTATTCAAACAGGAATTTTATAGACAGGAACAAGAAATCGAAATTAAATTTAAATAGGTAATCTTCCATATATCAGTAAAACCTGGACAGTTTCTTCGGACATATGTTTCTATCGATGAATTCTAAGAATACTTTCTAGATGTAAACGTCAGCCAAGATGAAGTCTTAAGAAAATTTTAATCGGTAAAGAAACTTTTCCTTTTTTTATCTATCTATCTATCTATCTATCTATCTATCTATCTATCTATCTTTCTGTTATATATATATATATATATATAGTGGAAATAGGGTCAGGAGAATTGAACGCTCACAAGAGAGATTGGAAACATGAAATATAAACGCATGAAAAGAAATCACACACATATAGACACACATGCGCGCGCGCACACACACATATTTACACAGTGAGGTTCATACTAAACAAGAGTCGTGAGCCACTCGATGTTGAGGGTTACGGAATAATAGGCACAGTTTATATGAACAGGTGAAGAAGATTACAGTTAAGTCTAGACTAGAACATATTAAGATTGTAGTGATCGGGAAAAATCACCTCAGTTGTGGGTTATCTATCTATCTATCTATCTATCTATCTATCTATCTATCTATCTAAAGTAAAATAAATTCCGTGGGTGAATTATTACAAGTAGGCCCAAATAATATAAAAAAATTTAAAACTGGTCCACATAAAGAGCGCTCGATGTATTTTTATTTGTGCAGAGGAATATAGTAAATAATGAAAAAATTATTTTTTATTATGTGGGTAATAGGCTATTTCGGCAGAAGATAAAAGTGGTTGCTTGTCTTATCAACCCCAATATGGAATGGAATTCACATCTGTATATATATATAGAGAGAGTTGGAGGGGAAGCAGGAAGTTAAAGTTAGCTGTAAGGAAATAATAAGGGAAGGCGTCAACCTAAAATTTAACATGCCAATAATACTGTCATGGGTCCTTATCTATATCTACAGAATGAACTCTTCCTAAAAAAAATGTATACTACGCCTCTCAAGAGAGAGGGTCGAATCAAGCCGAGCTTCTCGGCTTGACGGTTGAACTCTCTGCCTCTGAGCAGAGAGGGACCCCGACGAGGCTCCGCCGAAGGACAGAGCCTCGTTCGGGGAGGTTGACCAACCCGAAGCCGTTTTTACAGTTTCTACGGGCATTTTTTGGCCGATCCTACAGGCTCGGAAAACCCACGTAAAACTCGACCTTGTGCCACATGCAACCCTCGTGGGGGGGGGGAAGTAAATATCGAAACGAACCGTGGGGCAGAGCCTAGTTCGGGGAGGTTGACTAACCCGATTCTGTTTACAGTTTCTACGGGCATTTTTTGGCCGAGCCTACGGGCTCGGAAAACCCACGTTAAATTCGGCATTGTGTCATATGCAACCCTCGTAGTGGGTGGCTAGATATCGAATCGAGTCGAACCGATAGTAGTTCACTCCAAACCAGACTGACAGTCATACTAACACCTTCCACATCTTGTATTATTATTTCGTGTAATATTTCTACTCTTGCGTTCCTGTTCTTCTTCCTTGGTCCTAACCTGGACCATAACAAATACCTAATACAGGGTTCACATTGTTTTATATGTTTGTATAATTGGCATGTTAAATGTTAGGTTGACCCATATTATATCTTTATAGTTAACTTATTCTTCCTGTTTCTTCTAGCTCTACGGACATGAATTCTGTTCCATATCGGAATTGAAAAGACAGATTAACATTTTTATCGTCTGCCCAAATAGCCTATTCCCCGCATAGGGTAAAAAGAATTTTTATTTTTGATTATTGCCCATGCATATATATATATATATATATATATAAGAGGGGTGGATCTGTTTGTGCGTGCATTAGTTTTTTTTCTTTTATCTTTCACTTACAAAATTCTTTTATGACGTAGGAGATAATGGCTCTCCACAACGTTCTATAAAAGATATGGAGTCCATTTTGATGTATTCAGCTGCTTAAACCTTCTTCCATAAGCTTCATCTCTGGTGAGCGTACAAGGAAATAATCAGACCGGAAATACTTGTAAGACTTACTTTAAAAACTATGAAAAGTATTCACGGCAGCATCTCCCCCCTCTCTCTCTCTCTCTCTCTCTATATATATATATATATATATATATATATATATATATCTGTGTGAGTGTGTGTGTGTCTGTATATATATATATATATATATATATATATATATATATATATATATATATATATAATGTATATATATATATAATGTATGTGTGTATTCTTATTTTTTAAAAAGTTTTTGACTTTTGTTGATGGTAGATTGAAGCTCTCTACACGAATCAAATCAGTGTGTTACAGCTTTAATTCCTCAGTCCCTTGTGTTCAATCCACCCCCCCCCCGTATCTTCTCCGTTTTTGCCTGAAGCAAGATCTAACACCGGCGTTACTTTTCAGTCGTCTCCATCTGTAATTCAAGGCCCTAACTTCTTTTGACTGTTCAGAGAATCTTCTCGAATCTCTTTTGTTTCGAAGACTGTGTTCAAAGCTTCAGATTTCGACAAGTGAAGACGTCCTACTCCGAAACTGCCGAAACCAGATGACGGTCCGGCCCAAACGAAAACTGAACAATTTTTTTTTGAAATCGAATAAATATACAAACAAATAAATGGATATAAATAAAGACCTGAAAGTTTTTCGTCGTTCGTGACTCTTGCCAGAGAAAATGGCTGCGAGAGACATTTTTAATCTCGGGAAGTGCCTAGGACGACAAGATTTCTACAACATTTTTTTCTTTCTTTTTTGACTTTCTTTACAATACGCCATCTTGGTCTTCTTTTTCTTCATTTTGTACACGTTCGATCTTTCTTTGATTAGTGAAATTTAATCAGCTTTTATGGAGACCAAATCGGAACAGGGAAAGAAAACACAGACATTCAACAGATGTTCGAGTACAAGTGTGAGTTCTTTTTGTTTGTTCAAATGCGTATATATATATATATATATATATATATATATATATATATATATATATATATATGTATGTTTTCTGTTTGTTTGTATGTATGTGTGTGTGCTTAGGCTAGAAAGAAATTGACAGTGAAAGTAGTGTTTGGTGTACGCGTCTGTAAGTACTCATAAATCCGTACACATATCTACAAGTCTCGGTTGTAATCGTTAGTGACAATAGTCTGGCTGGTCATTACTATTATGTAGAAAGTTTGATGCTCACTAGGTGCCCTATACAAATTTAACATTAAATCACCAAACAACAGTTGACAACCATAAAATACAAAAAAAATTAACTTATCTCTATAGATAAGATTTTGTATATATATATATATATATATATATATATATATATTGTGTGTATTTAGGCAGCATTTTTTCATTCATGCATGTTTCATTAAATAATATAGACAAGTGTTTATTTATTTTATGTAAATTCTTCGTTTAATCATAATGTTATTAAGCTTCTCAGACGTTATGAAAAGAATTTACATAAAATAAATAGACAACATGTATGAATATATATATATATATATATATAT